TCGGTGTGACGCGGATATCTGGGGATGGTCTCGGTGTGGCGCGGAAATCTGGGAATGGTCTTGGTGTGACGCGGAAATCTGGGAATGGTCTCGGTGTGACGCGGAAATCTGGGAATGGTCTCGGTGTGACGCGGAAATCTGGGAATGGTCTCGGTGTGACGCGGACATCTGGGAATGGTCTCGGTGTGACGCGGCCATCTGGGAATGGTCTCGGTGTGACGCGGCCATCTGGGAATGGTCTCGGTGGCCGTGAGTAAAAAAAAAGTTTGCGTTGACTGAACGGGGCGATGGACAAGAAACAGAGTTGGTAGAAGAGTGGGGCGACATGGAGAAAATGGGACAAAATAGCTGGTAGTATAAGGGCAACATAGTTGTAAAAAAAGAGTCTGGCAACAGAGCTGATAGAAGAGTCGGTAGAGGAGTTGTACAACAGAGCTGATAGAAGAGTCGGTGGAGGAGTTTTATAACAGAGCTGATAGAAGAGTCGGTAGAGGAGTTGTACAACAGAGCTGTAGAAGATGGGGCGTACCTTGTTTATGTATGGCCGGCGCGAGGAGTTCGAGCTGTTCCTGGGCGACACTATGCCTATTTTCGGCGCTGATAGATGGATGACCTACTTGAGTGCCTGAAAAGCCACCTTTTAACTTGTTATTTTCGATGACATTGACTGAAAGAAACACTGGTCCTAAACATAGATTAATGTAGAGCTTACACACGTTTCCTAACTTTACTTGAACTGGTTAGAGATTGAAAAAAAAATGGGGGTGCTCTCCGCATTATTTTTTCTAGGGCTCCATGAGTTAAGCTGTTAAGACGGCCCATGATGATACAGCTGGGCAACAGAGGTGTCACATGAGTTGCCGAAATCGGGGTCGTCTTCATTCGCCTTTTACGTTGGGTTCGTAGGCCTAATGCAGGGGAGGCTACTATCGAAGTTTCCCCATATCCTTCTGAAGGACTTGTATGTATAATGTGATTGTGCGTTGTTGGGCAGTATCTGGGTAGATGCTGCTTTTACATTCTTGGTATTTCCCGTAAGGAAAAATGCCGTACAGGTATTGGAGGGTGTGTTGTGATTGAGTAATGGCAGCAGTTGACGGTGTAGTTTAGTTGTGCGGCTAATAAAGATACTTTCTTCTATGAATTGAATGGTTTGTGTAGTTACTATAACCCCTAGACAAACGAAGTTATCGAACCTGGTAAGATCGGGTTTGTAACAATCCTGGATGAGAGAAGGTTGGCGAAGCCCATCCCGGAGTGTGAGCGTTGCTTTGCTTGTCTTGCTGGGGGCTGATGAGCCCCAGCCCACTTATGTTACGTTCTGGTGTTAAAACACACAGCACGGCTATCCATACTGAGGGTGATGAATAAACCAACGCAACTAACTTATTAATTAATTAATAATAGAATCTATGAAATGAGAGTCCTCTAGATTTTAATTATTTTCAAACAAATTCATGGGCCGTAATTGAAAGGCAGCAATCCCCACCCTCCCCACACCTTTCTGCGGTCGCGATTACCCCAACGCCCTGCAAAAGGATCCCGCGGGCGCCCACACTTTCTTAGTAGGTCTACTTCTGCAAATAGCGTGTTAGTGTATTTTGGTAAATGTGTTAGATAAATAATTAGTCCTGTAGTGGTGGCCAGGGTATGTCCTTTAGTGGTGTACCTCCAAGCATCAATGTTCTGTCCCTTCATGAGTAGGGTGTGTACACAGAGAAAAAAAGAGGGAGTGGGGTTTTAAATCAGGATTTTCTCTTAAGAATTTTTATTTTCTTCATAAAACTAGACTAGAGATAGCACAAAATTTAATAATTCAATCAATTTTAAAAAGCGTTAGCATCAAGCTGGGTCAAAACAGCTGGGTTAAATAAAATCAAAGGAATTATAGAATGAAAGAATTTGACACACATAAAATATAAAATCAACTTTAATATTTAAAAAATATAATCAACTTTTGTCATAAGTTCAATGGATAAAATTGCATGGGGCCATCAAAAAAAGTAAAACACATAAAAGCAAGCGGAGTTAACTGCCTTGGTTACATGAATAAATAAAGCTGCTGTAGATTGTCACATAATTGCATCAAAAATTATTTAAGTTAAAGACATAATAAATATACATACATATATATACATAAATTACCAGTTACAGCACATAAAATTTATTATTATTCTTAAAACATTGAGAACTAGCCATACTAGCAAGCTTATCACAAAATAAATCGGTTTAAAACAGATGCAAACAATAGAATTAAGTCATATTGGAAACAATGGCGTATTCTTATTTATCCCAAATATATTTGGGAGCTTTGTATCAAACAACATTATCTCTGAAAGAGACACCAATTTAACTAACATTATCTCCAGGGAAGTCTGATGTAAAATAATGGTATCTTCCATAAAGTATAAGTCAAATAAGTTTCTAAAAAACATCTTTTCCACACAAATTCTTTAAATTTTAGTCCATCAACTTTCTATAATTTTGAAAATAAAATAAATAATAATTTCCATCTTGATATTTAAACTTCCACCAAAGTCAATTTTCGTAACTGTCCATTATGCTTTTTAAAAAATTTATTGAAATAATTTGAAACGAAATGGAAAATTAGATTGATATTTTCATTGATGGCATTCAGATTTTATCAGTACTGTCACTGATCAGTTAATATGATGAAATTAAGTAGAGAAAATTAATTGAATAGTTCCAAATATTTTATTGGTCATTTCTTACTCCTAAATGTTTGGTTCACTTCAGCTGATTTCATTCTGGCAACATATTGTTTCCATGACAACTTGCAATGAAATTTCCCTAGACTGATATGGACAACAGAATAACAAATTCTAAATATAGGTGATATTAGATTCCAATAAACAACACATTATAACATTTATAAGGATAACTAATTTTGTATCACTGGTTGCAAAGAATTCATCATTTCAGAGGAGTTCTGACAAAAAAAAACTTTTAGCTTTATTTCTATTGTTCTTTTAGCTTTATTTCTATTGTTCTTTTAGCCTCTGCAACTCCAACTGCTTCCCTGTGTAATTCCTGTAGGTGAGGGATCAAATCAAACAAGAAAATTATTTCTATGGAACATGCCAATGTTCTGAAAAAATATGCACACTGTTACATAATATAAGAAGCGATCTGCTACAACCACAAATAGAAAGAGTTGTACATTATTTAGCATTTTGATTATTGATTTGTAATGAGATTTATGATTTATTCTAAGTATAAATTACAAAAAAAATATTTTTCCATTGACCTGCAAAGTAGTACCATGAAAAGACATTTAGTTTAATTCCTTAGTGCAGCCCCAGATCTCACCTAGCGCCATATGTTTCAAATGTGTCCCCGATCTCAGCCTTAGTCCATTATCTCCCATATAGTTCCATATCTCACCTGCTGTCACATATCATGCCCATATCTTCATTTCTCACCTGTAATCCTATATGACACCTTTGATATTGTAAATCTTACTTACAGTTCGCCTGCCTTATTCCAATATTTCGCCAGCAGTCCCCATCTATATCCCCTTTAGTCCCCATATCTCACCTGTAGTCCCATTCACTGATTCCCCAGCCTTTTACACCATTGACCAGGTAGTTACAGAATCTTTCATAAATTTTGGCATCCCAATCTTGGCCCATGTAAAACACTGGACACTGTATTTTGGTGGACATCAGGTTGTAAGTTTTGTTACCTTAAAACATGAAAAATGTAAAGCTTTTTGAAACTCTTTCATCCCAAGGACATTTTTATCTATATTTATCAAGGGTGCCTTTTATAACAGATGAATGGCACGTAATTTAGCAGATGCATGGCGTGTTATATAACACATAAATTATGAGTAAAAAGGAATATATCAGAATTCGGCTAAACTCAACAATGCATGCCACAGTCATATTAAAATCAAAACTCAATTATCTTGAAATATTCATATATATAAAAATTTGTGTGACCTAAAAAAAATATAAGGGTTGTTATTTTTTTCCCATTTCTATGTTTTAAAAAAGAATTACAAATTGGTGTAACTAGGACATTGTTTTTTGTTGGTTACATGAGTCCATTGGTTCTAAGTGTAGCCGAGTGGTGACATAGCTTACAGTTTAAATAAAATCACAATAAAACAATCAGGTCTGAGAACTATAGCTTTTTAATGTAAGGTACAATCCGTTGACAGAGCCGACAGTAAAATCTCACACACATGCCGCCAACCCGACGCATCCGTTCCACACCACAACCTCAAAAATGTACACACCTCAAGTCCCAGGTCGCCCCCCCCCCCCACACACAGTCACATGGAACCTGCGTCCTGAGCTGACCATGGGTCAACCCCAGGGCAGGGATGGAGTCTGAGAACTATAGCTTTTTAATGTAAGGTACAATCCGTTGACAGAGCCGACAGTAAAATCTCACACACATGCCGCCAACCCGACGCATCCGTTCCACACCACAACCCCAAAAATGTACACACCTCAAGTCCCAGGTCGCCCCCCCCCCCCACACACAGTCACATGGAACCTGCGTCCTGAGCTGACCATGGGTCAACCCCAGGGCAGGGATGGTTATTCCCGTGTGTAAATAACCAACATAAAATTATAGGCCAGTACACAGCTGTGTGTTATTTTAAATGACCGTGGATGTGTACGTGCTTGGGGTTACCCATAGCAGTCACACTATGACTATGAGAGTGGATTCTCTTATTCCTATTTGTTGCATACTGCCGTATATAAAATGTTACATAAAAGCAGTTGAAAATAGTGGCACATTGCCCACATAAGTCTCTAATTTTATAGCAAAGACAAGATTTATACTTAACAAACCTGCAGTGAATTTCAAGATCAGCTTATCGGGTGGTTCAGTTTCATCTCCCCAGTTGAAAAATTCAAAATCTGTGCTACTAACCGAGTCCATGGAACCATCTGGGTGAAAGACATACCCAACAACTAGCCTGAAATGGAGGGTGGAAACTTTATTTTTACTGCATATAGTTTCCTTGCTACATCAAGTAAGCATATTATCATCTGAAAGAATGTTTGACTGATCACACCTGGCCATTGATTGACCACAACTGGCCATTGATTGACCACAACTGGCCATTGATAACCACAACTGGCCATTGATGACCACAACAGGCCATTTACTGACCACAACTGGCAATTGATTGACCACAACTGGCCATTGATGACCACAACTGGCCATTGACTGACATCAATGAGCAATTTCTAATCAAAGAACTCTGCATAAAATCAATAAAAACATTAACTTATTGGCAGGTTGTTAAAAACCAGTGTTATAGTTGATACAGTTTAAAAATGTTAAAGATGAAGAAGTACTTGCTACCATAAAATCAACTCTATATCAGATGCTATGAAAAGATATATTACCGGTAACAGCAGCAGAATTAATGTCTTTTCTGGTGACATTAAACTTGGGGGTGGGGTAAAATTTGGACTCTTGACATTCTTTTTACTTGACCATTGAAAAATTCTTTGATTTAGCCTGAATATTGATTAAAACTGGTAAATGATATATTGGAGCTCTTACAGAGCACGACACATAGAGTGTACCTAGAAACTGTTAGTGGCATTGATATTGCTCCAACACAAAGGGAAGTTCCATCTTCCAAATGTACATAGTTGAGAACATAACGGTGGAACAATTTCCAGTCACGAATGTTACCTGAAGAAGAAGAATAATAACTTGATGATAATAAAGTATAAATCAGGGTCTAGGTTTGTCAATAATTTTTTGGGTGAAAAAAATATACTAAATAACAAAACTAGTGTTACAACAAAAATATTCAGGGACACTTGAGGAAGGATAAAGATGGTATCAACAAATACTGTAACTATGCCCTGGCCATATGGGTACCCGGGTAGCAGTGACAATTATAGAACCAGAAATTGACCATCTCACTAGACTAAAGCAGGCCCATACTTCCAATTGAAATACTAGTAAATTTATTCTGATTAAAATTGTTATTTCCTATTTTTTCCAAAGCAAATAAGATAATAATATGTACTGAGTACTTAGTATTTAGTTCAAATTTTTTAAAAGCTATAGTCCTGCACCCAACCTTGTATTAAGGACAGTGAACAAGCCCCCTGTTTAAAAAGTTCATGGACACCTGCTCCATATCTGAATAGGGGACTGAAAAGAAACTGATGCCAGATTGGGCATGTGTACACATCACTTCCACCACTGTCATGAATATACAGCAATACCCAAATTAATTTTTACAATTTTAAATTTGATTTATCCTACCATAAGAGTGATCTCTGACACCCTGAACTTTAACCTCTTGGTCAGGGTGACCTGAAACATGTACCACTCCAACAATTTCTCCAAACTGCTCATAATGTGTCTGATGAGCTCTGAAACAACAACAACTTTATTCAAATCATAATTCTGGCAACACATCACATACAATTTATTGTTTCAAAATAGGATTGGAACAATTACTCACATCTCTTGGAAAATGAATAAATGATAGACAGTTTATTTATTTATTACTTAGTTTATTTTTCTTTTGATAAGTCAGAGCACATTGCTATTCTTGGCCCATTTCAATAAAATTAGTTTGAATATTTCTGATTATTTCGCGGAACTTTAGAAAAATGTCAGTGTAAGCTCACTCAATTTTTTTTTTCTGGAATTCAAGAAGTTTAAAACAATAGGTGTCTTTCTTTTAGTTCCTTTTCTTCTCTGTCTCAAAAGGCAAACAGGCATAGATGCACCAGTCGTAGATTTATACAACTAAACAATAATGTGGATAAAATTTACAGGACTAGTGCCTCATAGTCAAACCGTGCCTGCTAGTCGCAGAAATCTCACTAAGACATGATAGTAAATCACCTAAACATACCTTTTAAGAGTATCAAAGTATTGCCGAGACCATCTCTCCCTGGCTATCCCGTCGGCCATAACGTGTGGATGAAGATCCGTGTCAAAATCAAACGGCTTGGTGATGGCTTTCCAGACAAGATCGAATTTGACATTAACTTTTTCTCTTGTTTCTGCTATCCTATACATTTAAATTGATATTAAATTACTCTGATGAATTACTTTAATGATATATTTTCCCTAGGCAATTTGTAGATAACGAATATTGGAGCTGGCCGTGATTAAACACAAAATGTAACATTTTCAGCAAAGCCTACCACTCAGACATTAGTACATACAACATTTCAATGACACATCACAATTCTTTTATCAGTTTATTGCTACCTCATAATTATATTAATTTACTGTTTCTGCAAGATTCACTGTTAACCATCAGATTACTGTTACCTCATAATTCCATCAAATTTTAGATTCCAGGTGTCCATGGGTTTGACTGGAGTTATGGTCAAGCCACCAGCAGAGTATGAGGATCCATTGTCTGTGCCAGTCAGATGTGTGTCTGGCAAGGACGTTATTTCAAGTAGCCCAATATTTGGAAGCTGAAAAAATGTAATAGGCTGCACTATTTAATTTTTTTTTTTACTTAAGGAAGGAGAAATGCATTCTTCTGGGCATGTGTGGACACCATGAGGTTTGAACACAGTGAGGTTTGTGCATGTTCAATTTTAACAACTGAAAACCCTGTGTCCATCAAAATCTATTTCTTCTGTTCAAAGAACTACAGTGAGATGGGTAAATGTATGCAGTCTCTTGCCCTTTAGTTGATTTTCTCTCTTTAAAAAAAATCATTTAATATATTTGTGATTAATTTTTTTTTTTTGTCTTGTAAATTAATTTCTTTAATTTTAATCCATTAACTAATTCTATAATATAAATTGTTGTGTTGAGTAGAAGAACTATTGGCTTTAAATTAAAATGCCACATTTTGTACCTAAATTAATATATATATGACCTCTAACTTCATGACACTGCTTGGTTTATACCAAATACCAGTACACAAATTATTAATTAAAAAATAATTATTTCAAATTCTATAAAACAAATTAAAATGAGAATTGTTACTTATAGCCATAATCATTAATTGTTCATGAACCCTTTTTCAAAACATTTTTGATTTACCATCACATATATAATAAGCTTACTCACTCGTATATAAAGTATTGTTTGAACAATATTGTCCTGTCTTCGAGCTGTTGCAGCCACCAAGAACACACCACTGGAATTACCCCCATTAAAGTACACTGCATCTACGGCCTTAGAAATAAAGTGTCAACAACAAAATTACTTACAGTTAATGATATCACAGATGTCAATAGTAATAGCATGGATTCATTGAACATCAGAGGCATCAACAAAAGAATCTAAATAAGATTAACTCCCATATCATAGCATTAGCTACAATTTCTAAATTATCTTATTGTTATGTTATTGGTATTTCATCAAACAAGGTTATAATGTAAAGCTCTATCCTTTTTTTCACTTTACAAGTATTTCTCATACCAAAAACTTGTGACTAGTTTCTTTTCCCAACTTTTTAAACTTTGTTTATGAATTCAATTACACAAAACAAGTTTCAAAGATATTATTCATTCAACAAGAATTATAATTATCATAAAATGGGCATGCTTCAATGGAATTATTCCCCCTGCTCTGGGAGCAGTCTGCTCATCATGGCAACCTACAGCTGAGGTGGAATAAGTCTTTGATGTTTGCAAGGACCTAGGAAACCTTCAGGGGTAGACACCTGCCTAACTCAGCCTTGTCACATAGGTGTAGAGCATAGATGTTGGGAGCTAGGGGTTTAGGGAACATGATTACAGCTGCGGGTAAAGGATCATAGATAACAAAGGTGCTATCGATTACGAAAATTGCAACCTGTGTTGAATTGAGGGCAGTCATTTAGGCAGCCATTTCATCACCATCACTAGTTATATTTTGTGAAGTGGTGTTTAACATAATGGCCAGCAGTGCCCAGTACCACTTTAGAATTAAACACTACTAGGATCTATACTCAACTCTGGATGTTTCTCCCTAATAAGCCTAATACTAATGGAGTAACGATAAACCAACCGACCACCCTTGAGAAAGCCAAAATGGTGATTTCCTTTTTATTTGACCTTACTTAGAAAGGGATGGATTTTGAATTTCCTACTGCAGATTACTATGCCCTCTCCCCCACCCTTGTGTTTGGCAGATAGGGATCTTCACTGGCACCTTCTTGCGAAGATTTCCTCAGAGCTGTTAACCACATAGACCAGAGGGAGCTGCTTCGGGGCATCTCCCCTCTAGAAAAGGAGGACAGATTCTGCAAATTGGGGTACTCTGGGGGCCGATAAGAGCTTCAGCTCAGACCACTGGCTTCAATTCCTTATGCGTAATTTTCAATGGAATTATTTGAGTGGTCGTTTCTTCTAATAAAAGTAATTGAGTTAGTAAACTGTCACTGGCTACACAAAATGACTTAATTACTTCACGACAATGGGAGTCATACTTCATGATTCATAATGTTAGTGTAATAAGCATAATTATTTTGATTTAGCGTAAAATAGTCTAACCATCGAACAACTTACAAGGGGTTCCTCCTTTGGCAATACTTGAAGTTTATCCATGTCGTCAGGTGAATTTCTCGAACGAACTCCATACCCAGCATCTGCAGAGGATGCAAGTTTATGTTGCTGTTTCCTTTCATTTTGCCGTTTCCTCAGCCAAAGAATGAAACGGAAAAAATGATACTTGATGGGATAAAATAATCCCGGCTGTCTATATACAAAAGGTATGTGTACATGTTGTCCATTAATATATCGTATAGCCCATTCAATAAGTAACCAAAGAAAAAATGCCGCTATTAAGCTAAACACGGCAAGGAAAAGAGGCGTCATGTTGCTGTTGTTGATACCTCTGACCTTTGGCCCGAACAACACACAGAGACGGTGTATAATTAAAATGGATGACATCAGATAATTTTAGATCGGGGGTGCCACGACCTACCAGAACTCTAGTGGGTCATGGGGTGGCCAACCCAATAAATAGCTTCATGGGTTATTTTAATCGCGAGTCGACTCTTTGCTGGCATACTTGATCTGTGTGATAAACGGAGGCAGTTAAAGAAAACAAAAATGGTATACTGACGGGGGCCATTAAATATAGGACAGTTAACCAAGCCACCAAAAAAGGTATGAAAGGGGCAAAGAAGAACTGGATTGAAGAGAAATGCTACGACATTGAAAACTGCTTGAAGAAAAACAATAGCAAAAAAGCTTACCAGTTGGTGAAAGAACTAACCACTGCAATACAAAGGGCGTAGTACTACAGTACAGGTTAAAAATGGTAAATGTTTAACCGAGGAAAATGATATCATAAAACGATGGACTGAATACAGTTCAGAGCTGTATAATGAAAGTATAAAGATAGACCCAGAGATCCTTAATGTCCCTCCAGCAGCAGACAATGATAACTACACTATTCTCCGCGCAGAAGTAGAAACAGCAGTCCAAGCACTCCAAACAGGAAAGGCCACAGAAACGGTTAATATCCCTGCCGAGTTGGTGAAACAAGAAGGAGAAGCAATGATAAGTGCCCGATTCAATATTTGTAACAAAATATGGCTTACAGGAGAATGGCCCAAATCATGGACCCTATCGCTCATCATCACCCTCCCCAAAAAAGGTAACCTACAGCTATGCCAAAACTATCGCACCATTAGCCTAATAAGCCATCCAAGCAAGGTCATGCTGAAGGTCATATTGAACCGACTAAAACCATATGCCGACAGAATCATTGCTGAGAACAGGCGGGCTTCAGACAAGGACGGGGCACTACTGAGCAGATTCTAAACCTCCGAATACTGTGTGAGAAATATGCTCAACACCAACAAAACCTATACCACGTCTTTATGGACTTCAAGAAAGCATTTGACGGGGTTAGGCATGCTGCTTAATGGGCCACCATGAGGCACTACAACATCAACACAAACCTCACCAGAATGATATGCAACCTCTATGATAAGGCCACCAGTGCAGTCTTCCTCAACAACAACATCGGAGAATGGTTCAATACTACGGTTGGAGTACGACAAGGTTGTCTGCTCTCCCCCACCCTGTTCAACATCTTCCTAGAGAGAATTATGTCAGATGCTCTGGAAGCGCATGAAGGGAAAGTCAGCATTGGTGGGAGAACAATCACCAACCTACACTTTGCGGACGACATAGACGGACTGGCTGGGAACGAAGAAGAGCTAGTCAAATTGGTAAAGCGTCTCGACAAGACCTCGTCGTCCTATGGCATGCTAATCAATGCTGAAAAGACAAAACTGCTGACAAATAACACCACAGGCATCACCACTGAAATTAAGGTCGGGAAGGAAAGACTAGAGACTGTAGGCCGCTTCAAATACCTAGGAGCAATAGTCTCAGAAGAAGGCTCAGAGCCCAAACTGATGTCCAGGATTGCGCAGACTACAACAGCACTAAAGAGGCTCAAGAAAATATGGAATGACAAAGATATAGCCCCCAGCACCAAAAACAGGCTGATGCGCTCATCAGTCCTCTCCATTTTCCTGTATGCCTGCGAATCCTGGACATTAACAGGCGTTCTTGAAAGGAAAATAAAGGCGATGGAGGTGAGATGCTTCAGAAGCATTTTTAGCATCTGCTATAAGGACCATATCTCCAATGATACAGTGAAAAAAGGGTTCGCCAAGCAATTGAGGAGTACGATGACCTACTGGTGACTGAAAAAACGCATATTACAATGGTACGGCCACGTAACAAGGAAACAAGGGCTTGCCAAATAAATATTGCAGGGCACCACAAGATGAGGGAGAAGAAGAGGAAGATAAAGAAAGATATGGGAGGATAACATCAAAGAGTGGACAGGACTAACACTGGGCGATGCTGTGCGTAACGCAGAAGACAGAGACGAATGGAGGAGGATAGTTCCCATGTCATCTGTGGCGCCCCAACGATCCAAGGACTAAGGGACATGATGATGATGACGACTCTTTGCGGGCCGCATGGCATTATCCTAAAAAATTAAATAAATACGACACAATTAAGTATTTATTTTAATGGACGCATTTATCAGAGGACAGCAATAGCCCATTCACATATTATATAGTCGCGTTGCCTTACATATAATCGAAATTTAACTCTATAATTATATAGTGAGGCATGTGCTATATAGTCTTAGTAATAAATAATAAAGCACTGCCTCTATGATACAAGCAGGCAGTGCTTTATTATTTATTGTAGATAAAAAGGTGCCAATCGCTGGCATTTCGATCGACAATAATGGCCATGGGGATCACATATCCGAATATCGGACGCCCTCCTAAGTCCCCCAAGTGAAAATTCACGAATGACAATGCAGGGATGCATTTGACGCGTATAACTAAATTTATTTTGTAGCGTTCTCATACATCAGGAGAAAAACAGAAGTTGAAATTTAGGTTCCCCTTTACCTTGCTGTATATAAACATCTATTTAAAGAATGGATATTAAATCAATTTTAGGGTAACTGATAACAACATGGGCATGGGATAGCCAACTTAAGTTTGTATTTGTGTACCGGTGTCTACTATTTCAATTGTGTCCTTAGCAGGGAAAACATCAACTGCACATAAACATATTGCTCTTAAGTTTACCTTTTGCTTTTTTTTTTGAGAAGATTAAAAAAAAAGACAAGAATTATTTTGTTGGATTGCATTCATTCTTCATTCAATTACTTTCTAGAAACTATCCACAAAATTAATAACTTTAACTACAACTCATGCAGGCTTATTATCCATTAAGGATTACAAAATATAGTTTCTAAATAAATGTTTATTTGGCCATTTATGAATTATATTAAATCTCAATAGAAAAAAATATCCACAGGCATTGGCCTTTATCAAGTCAGCATAAGTACAAAGCTATATGATGAAATGATGTGAGCTTATTAACGTATGTTTACATCATTGTGGCTAAGAGAAATATATATATATATGTTTCTTTTGTTCATTGAATAATTTATAATAATAATTTTGTTTAAATTTAAAAGTGTGGTATGCAGCAACTTTTAAATGGCAGGGTAAGCCATTGTTTAGTGGACATCACTTGCTTATAAGATTTAAGTTTGGACTAAACAACATACATGAGTTTAATGACTTGTCATGTACATATTGTAAAAATGAAAACAATTATTTTAATTATTTAACAATTTTTTATTTAATTTTTCAGAATGAACACATCCATTTTGAATTTGCATATAAAATGAAAAGAAATAATGCAACTTAGTAATTGTACCACACAAGCAGGTAAAATAAACAATTTACCCTCACAAAAAGGTAAAATAAAAATCAGTAAAAAGCAGTAGCAAAAAAATGCACAATTAGTAATTGTAAATAGTATTGATTTAGCCTGGGATAGCAACAGGTGCTTTCTTTTTATATTTATTTACTGTGTCCAATAATTGTTTTTTTAACAGACACAGAAAGTAAATGTTACTTGAGGCCCAAAGAACTTATTGTTATTTGACATAATAAAAAAAGGAACAAATCAAAATGACACACGTCATCCCAGGTTTTTACTTCAATTGGCACAGTCAAATTATTTCTGCTCTGGTCTAAACCTCAACATTAATATCTAATTATACTGGCAATGCCAGGCTTTTTTTGTTAACCAACCACAGCCACAGTGGTTCATATTTATCAAACAAACATTCCAGTAACAAAAAAAATAATAAAGTAAGTTTAATGATCTAAATTTTATAAAAATGATGAAAACACCAATGATAATTAGTAATATTAGTAATTTGGAATTTTAATGCCATTAAATTGTTTTCAAATCTGGGACTGAAATGAAAGATTTTTTAAAAAACCCTGTCAAAAACAGATCTGAGTCCAATTAAGATTCATGGCTTAATAAAAAGTTGCCTTATCCTCTAACATACTTTGGCATGGGAATTGTAGGCGTGTATGGCATAAGCTGGTGCAGCATCACAGCCTGCAAAAATTCATAAAAATTTTTGTTAGCGCACAATGATTTAACTAACAAAAGATAACTTTTTAAAAGATATAAAACACAAAATACTTTATATTGTACTTCACTCAGTGTAGTGCCCTTACATTCTGTGATGATAATGAAATGCTATCATATACTTTGTTTTTACAATAAAAAAATTTTTTTTAGCATTTAATGGCTCTCTATAAATACAAATATGGATAAATTATTCTGAAAATAAAAAGGATTGAAAGAATGTCGCTTAAAAAGAGAATTTATTTTAAATATAGTCATAGAAACAATTTATAACAGTTTATTATACTGTACATGTAAAGAAACTCACTAGGGTCAGATAAAAATTAAAATATGGAACAAGACTTACCATTACAGTCCACATTCTGTTTTCTGCTTCTGCCCAAACAAGTGACTCTTCTCCATAAAATATATCATCAGTCACTTCTTCCTGCTTGCGTGGGAGACAATGGAGAAAAACCCAACTGCCTCCAGCTTCTTTTAACATCTAATAGAAAATTCATGACAATGTTTAATTCCTTTTAACACAAAAAAAAAAAGATAATATTTCATTCGCATACATGTTAAATAAGTTAAATGGAGCAGTCAATTATTTATACATGGTTTTTCTTGGTTATTAATTTTTTGAGGCACAATTTCAAGATGGCAACATTGATAGGAACCTATGTTAACATATGATGTTCCAATTAGTATTGTTAAAAATTAAGCTTATTTAGGCACATTTGTCCATTAAAAATTACGTTTAGTGAATGTAGGATTTAAAATCAGCAATACATGAGTTGATCATTGATTGCTTGGTGGCATCTATGTTACCAATCATATAATTTCAATAATTGTTTCTCATTAAGCCCTTTTTTCTTCATTTATTTTGATTATTCTTATGGTAGAGCAATTGTGAACATTATTTAGAGCTTGGACAAATGATCAATTGTATTTCATTACAGTAAGCACTTAACATTTTACCTTCCTATTAATCTGAAATCCAGAAAAGTCTTTGAGCCTCTTCTGTTTCTCCTCCTCCTGTCCCATGCTGACCCATGTATCTGTGATAATGGCATCAGCCCTGTATGCTGCTTTTACAGGATCATGACCAATATTAAAGGATGCCCCACTCTGAAATAAAAAATGGGTTTATTGTTATTTAAAGGGACATAGACCAGTTGACATTCAATAGCAGATTTTTCCTAGCCTGAGACGCTCCTGTTAGTCCTACTAATTTCCAATTCTTACAACCTCTTTGTCCAAATTTATCTGCCCGGTGAAATCTGGTTGGTCTCTTTCTGTTTCACTGGGACTGGGGAATCTTGCAAGTGACTGGTAAGTAATCTTAGATATTGGCATTCTGATTGATCAGTCTATCTATCTTAATTTTCTTTTTTGTGTTCAATTTTCAAATGATGCATTTTTTTTTATCTTTTAAGATATTTGTTGATATTCAGTTAACTCCAGCTATATAGAAGAAAATAGTTTACATTTAAGTCAATGAAGATTTATACAATTTTTTTCTTAATTTCCAGAAAATTCTGATCTTCTTCTAATGTGACTAAACTCTCTCCCTCCATTAATTAGTATGTACTTAATATAATCTGAGGATGAGCACTCTTTGTAAATCACTAAAATCAGAAGATTTCATATAGCTTTAAACAAAGTTATTTTAAAAAAATAAAGCCCAGAAAAACAAAATACAATTAAGCTGAAAGAAATTAAACAGACGCTCGTTACCTTTCCAGCTATATTCATGGCCTCTGTTGTTATTTCTGGGTTGGGTTCATATCCCTGAAGGATATAAGTGCATACAAATTTTGAGTGTATTGTACCTTTACATTGTCTGCAAGTGTTCAGTTTCTAAAATATACTTATTCTACATGGCCTTATCCTACTTCTATTGACTGATGGTTTAAATATACTTAAGTCCTGGCATGTGGAATTTTTTCTTTTTAACAGTACAAAAACTACAAATATTAAGCTGCTGTGAAAATGAGAGTTAATCAACATACTTTTCCCCTAAAACAATAAAAAATGTATATTCTGCTTTAACTACAAGCTTTGTCTGTTATTTTAAAATGAATAAATCACAAACACTTCACTGGGGTGTAAAATCATTATTAAATCTTTCATAGTTCATTATTTTTTGTTTCTTACTGTTCTACAGCAGTGACTGTGGCTTAAAATATTTCAAGGATATTATTTTAATTAATTTAAATTTTATTCTTAATTTTATGAATTTTCTCCTCACTAACAAGAGACACACAGGACTTGTGAGCATTGAGAGTCTCTTAGAATATACATTTAAATAGCACTGATCCATTTTTCACATTTTTTTGGTGAAAAAGTGATAGTAGTGAATTACATTTTCATAAAACATTTCCTGCACATGTTGTTTCTGGGCATGGTGGTGGACACAATTAAAACCTAGCAATATATAATGGCATGTTAAGGTCTATTGAGATACAGCACACTTACTGCTGGTGTAGCAATATTTAGGTCAATCCCTAATTTAGCACAGCCATACATCAGAGAGTGAAGAATGTTGTTCCCATCCCCAATCCAAGCAATCTTCACACCCCTCACGTAGTTAAAGTATTCCTGGACATCGGATTAAATTTATCATTAGAAGCAATTTATAAGTTAACCAGTTTCTAATGTTCAAACAATTTTACAATTATTAAATTAATAAACTAACTGTTGTTGGCCAGACAATGGAATATAACGTTTATGGTCAATATGGTCATCTATGGTCAATTCTAATTAAATGCAACCAATTCATTCTGGGGAAAAATAATGTAATGGTGAGATTTTATGTAATCTGTTCCTGATATGTTTTTGCCCCCGAAGGATTTGTTAATAACTGTATCTTTAATACATATTATTAAAAATGTTACTTATATAAAAATAAAATTTTAAAACACTTATTAATAACAATTAAAAAAAAGTCCGTGGTTTAATTTTAAAAGTGTGTTTAACAAAAAAAAATTGTAAAAATGTGTTTTCTAAATTTACAATACAGGTTAGGCACTGCAGTTTTTATAAAGGTCAAACCTCAAATTTAACCATATAATATAAATATAATTGAATTTTCTCCAAACGGTCAAGCCATTTTTAGCATTTCTATGTTTGTCCAAAATAAAAAAATCCTTTAAAAATTGAATTCAGAGACCATTACATGTGTACATTTTCTGAAAGTGCAATGGATAAAGAATATAATGTATGAAACAGAATTAGTTTGCATATTAAGTAAGTTGATAATGACCTTGACCTTTACACAGTATCTTAAATTGAATTACTCAACTTCTAAATTCAACATACCCCTATCTCACTATTTCTATCATTACTATTACAAACCGGTTCTTACTAAGATTCGTTAGCTTTGTTCGTCTAGGGGTTATTATATTAACTACACAAACCATATATTCTTAGAATAAATTATCTTTATTAACCAAACTAAATTGTCAACTGCTGCCATTACACAATCACAACACACTACACAATACTTCATTTCCCCGAACATAAAATAGTCTCCAAATACTAAGCATTTAATAGCAACATCTACCCAAATACTCTTCAAACAACATGCAATCACAATATACATACAGTCCTGAAAACAATTACATCTGCTTTTTTTATACATTAAAAGAAATATCCTTTCAGAAAATATCAAGTTATAGGTACTTTTAAAAAAGTTAATTTTGTTGATTTTTTTTTTTATCCATCACCTTCATAGTTATGCCATAAAAAATACAAAAAATGAGTTTTAAAAATTATTTTCATTTAAGTTATTTAATTCATTATTTTTTTTATTGAGTAACACTCCAGAAAATACATCAAGGTATATGTCTATGAATCTCTTTAGAATAGGTCTTAGGGATCCAATTTTTGTCTTTTATGTTCAATTTCCACCCTTTCCCAAAAAAATTTGATTGGAACATTATGACAATTGGGGCTAAAATTGTCAATATCTGACTCCATAGTTGCCACTGATGCTAATACTTTCATTAATATCACATGGAATATATCTAAAATCATCATTTTAATTAATTTCAATAAAGAAAGTCTGTTTTTTATTTTGCAAAACCCTCTTCCGTATCAGACATAATGGCAGTCAAAGAAATTGAGCAAATTTCACTCCTGATTCAGCATCACACAAGCTCCGATAAAAGCAAGTTTACACACAGGCAAAAATAAAAATAGGAAGCACACTCTTTTCTATAGAATGATTTTCCTTTAACCTAAGCACAGTAAAACCCGGTTATGTCGACGGCCTGGGGCTTTGCCAAAAAGCGTTGAGATAACCGATGATCGAGATAAACGAAAACCAGTGCGCCGGCAATATATTAACATTTGCTTGAAATTTCTTTATGTACATGATGTGCATTAACAAAATGAGAATGAGTCTCATACACTAAATAAAGCCTAAATTTTAGGCTATGCCTAATTTAATAATTTAAGTCAATAATAATTAATAGGCTATTAGGGCCAAAGCCTAATATATGAAGGGCTTAAGGGAAAAACTAGTGATGTCAGATTTTGACACTTTTGAGAAAACTGAAAATAAAGTTTGAAGGAAATGTGATAGTAATCAATTGATGCAAAACTGTATATTTGTTTGAATCTGTGTCACAAAACATAAATGCATTGCAATAAGCCCAAATGTTTTTATGTTTTTCTCCATTACAGAGACAAAATAAATATACAAACCTGCAATGTCATGAAGTCTGCCAGAATCTGGAGTGGGTGTAACAAGTCTGATAAGCCATTTATAACTGGGATATTAGCTTCATTAGCCATATCAAGTATATTTTCATGATCATAAACCCTTGCCAGAATTACATCAGCCATGCCAGCCAGCACCCTAAATATGAGAAAATAATAAAATATGATTATAAGCTTTTAAAATATATTATTGTATCTAGCAAATCAAATGTAAATTTGTAAATGAATATGCTCTAAAATATTAAGTAAAAAAAAACAAAAACAAATAAATATATATTATATATAATAATGGCTCATGTTTGTTTTCTTATTTTATTTTTTTTTTAAATTCAAAAACTTTGATACGTTACAACTTAAACCGAATGTGATTTAAATTCCAGTTTTGATCTGAAAAAATAAACACTCAATTATAAGTGTTACATTGTCTTTTTGAACTCTGACATTTCATAAATGATGGTCTTAATTATATGAAAAGTTCCAATCCATTGCTTTATCAAAGTAACCACCAGACATGGTCTAAACTATTGCAAATTGAATTATGAGAGCAAATAATTTCAATATATTTATTTGTCAGTTGTCATAAATGTTCTTTTTCCTTACGATTTGTCTGGTTTTTTAACAGGTCCGGTAAATTTAAGCATTATTGTCTAGTTAGCTAGTTCTTATATAAATGTTAGCATCCAGCTCCAAACAAAAATCATTTAAGAAAAAATGTACTTTTAAAAGAAAAAATTTAGAAATTTCAAGACAACCGGTTGTCATTTAAGGCTTACACTTACCTGGAAGTGTCCTTTACACTTTCATTCACACCAAGGTGAATGTCATCAGGTCCAAGGAAACATGCATGACCTCCTAGCTTTGCAATACCTGAGAAAGAACACAATTATTAAAAAAAATTATACCATGTTTCAATAATAACTGTAGATAATCTTTTAGGGGGATTGTTATTTTTTTTAGCAAAAATAATGCAACTCAAAGCTGTGGTATTTCTTGTGTTATCAAAATAAAAAAATTTATGAGCATTACATTTATAGTACAATAATAATTGTAAAATATTATGTGAGAAAATTTGATTCTTCCTTAACCTAATTCTGTTGATAATCTGGTACGGGTACTCCGCTTCTGAAATATCAAAGCTGCTGTCTTTCCTTTCAATGGTTGGAATATCTATTTATAAATAAAGAAATGTAAACATAAGAGGTATAAAAATAAAAATGTGCATTAAAAAAAAAACTAATTATTAAATAAGGAATAACAAGTTTATAAAGTAAATATTTAAAAGTATGTCATGAAATGTCTTCCACACTGAAATGAATCAGACAGCTACCAAATTATTTTTCTGATAAGAAGAAACAAAATCACTCTTTAGTGATGAAAAGTTATAGTTTCTAATTAATATGTGAAAAATGAAAATGAGAGCTCAATAAAATAAATTATTGTTTTAAGAACTGAAAAAAACCCAACGTTTAATTCACTATTATTCTGCAGCATAAATACATTTGATTAATTTCAATGGGTTTCCACAAAAACTATACATTTTAAAATTAAAATGACTTACCAATTAAAAAAAAATGAAATCATTTTCATTGTTGATAAGTAATAGAACTATTCAATTATTCCAACCATTATATTTGATGTAAGAAAATGTTCTGGCCCATCCATATTGTATAATGCATTTAAGAAATGTTTAATTACTTTCTACTTTTTAGTGCATTTAAACTTGTCTTTGATAGAAAGTACATCAACATACACCAACTATATGTGGACTACTATGTTAGCATAGACAGGAAATACCTGTACAATGCTCCAAAGGATCTTGGGGTCCCTAACAAACTTACCCGGCTCATACATATGAGGATGGCTAACTCTAAAAGTAGATCAAAGTACAGGGAGAGTACTCGAGGGAGTTCCCAAATAATCAGGGCCTCATACAAGGAGATTCACTATCATGTATCCTGTTCAACATGTCGTTAGAAAAAGTCATTGAAAACATGCATGTGAACACCAGTGGAACAATTACAAACTACTTCCAGAGAGGTATTACAGAACAACTACCATCAGGAACTTTATATAGCCAATCATTGCAGTACCAGGCATACGCGGACAACACAGCACTACTGAGCAGAAACAGGAATGATATAATTAAAGCATTGAGGGAACTTGAATATGCATCTTTCAAAGCTAGTCTAGAGGTAAATAAAGCAAAGACAAAATATATGATAAATGCAAGAAACACACATACTGATGATAACATCAATATGAACAACCACACCTTTGAAAGAGTGGCTACTTTCAAATATCTAGAGGTGACTATAAATGAGCACAATGAAATAATTTCAGAGGTGAAAGGAACGATAACAGCAGGCAAAATTGTTCTTATTTCAGCCTACAAAAGCTGCTAGGAAGCCAAACCTTTCAAGGGGAACAAAGAGGCAATATGATCCACTATCATAAGACATGCGAAACTTTTGCAAGTGAGACTTGGGTCCTTACCAGATAAGCAGAGAACTTGCTCAATACATAGAAAATCCTCATATATGGTACAGTGATAGACGATGATGGTTGGAGAATCCAAGAGATATACCAAGTGTACAAAGACCCAATTATAGTCGCAACAACAAAGAAAGGCTAACTGCGCTGGACATGACACTTTGAGAGGACACTGAGTTGTAGAGCAGCAAAAGTGATCTACAGGCAGAAAACTAGGGGCAGACGGTTCACCTATCGACCAAGAATGAAACGGATCAACTATATAGAGAAGGACTTACACATGCTGGGGGTATGCGCATGGAGGTGAAAAGCCATAGATCCATCTGAATGGAAAGATGTGGTGGAGCAGGCCAGGGCCCTAAATGGGCTGTAGGGCCACTGATTATGATGATGATATTTGATAGAAAGTCTTGTTTAAAAGTTTACAAAAATATTTTTTAATAGATTTAATAGATAGTTCACCAATGAACATTATCTAGAAATTATGAACAGTGTAGTGAGTGCTCTTTTCTGCTGGCCAAGATATGACAATAATCAATGTTATGAATAACCTGTGAGGTTTCCAAATAGTGTAACTCACTTCTCCATTGTCTTTCATTCGTGTTTTCAAATCTTTTGCTGTCCACAAAAATTGTTTGATATCATCAGCGCTGAAGTTCTTCAAGCTTAGAAAATCTCGTCCAACAAGATGCCTGCAACAGTAAGTGAAAAAGAAAACAAGAATTGTGTAACATGCACCAATGAAAACGGAACTGGTAAAACATTTATTAAAGATGTAAGCTATTTAAAAAAAAATCTTCATGTTATAAAACTGTAATGCCAATTTTAAGGCAGACGAAGAGAGGCAAGAAAGCTGAACGCCTAGAATTTCAGAGGAGATCAGTCCAAGTGGTACGACCTTGGGTTTACATAGTGTTCTCTGTTGGTATTTTCACATCTTATTACTTGCTGGACTGGTGATAGGGCCCATTAATGATAATTTTGATATTCAGGTGTCATGCCTAAGGCTAATATTGGCTAAATCAACATTTAATGATGATACCAGCCATAATTATCAATTATAGATATTCAAACTATATTTTTGATAGACAAATAGTAATTTTTTAAATTTTGCAGCTTCAAGGCCAATTGACCAACAAATAAAAATCAAATTTAAAAAAAATTAAATAAAAAAGAGGACCATGGAGAAAACCTGAAAACAAACAAAGGAGCTGTCTGTAAAATACTTTATTCAGCTAACAAAAAAAAAAAAAGGGAACAACAAAATAACTGATCTAAAATAGCTCTACACAGTATTAGATAATCTATTTTATTTATTTTGGCACTCCTCAGAACGGCGGTCCCAAATTAAAAATGGAAAACTTTTCGTTAGAAAGTATCCAGCTCTAGCCCAGAGTAATAGCCGCCAATAATTGGGGATGTAATTTTTTACTTCAAATTTTGTTTGCAGACTAATTATTGCTTGTAATAGTTTAAAATAAACAATCCCATGGCCGGCAGACCACAAGCGCCGGTTCATATTTCAAATAATGTTTTGTCAGGAAACAATCTACAAACTTATGACACAATACCGAATGCACTGTATGCTTTGGTTAGTGTGGCTTGCTGAACACTGTCTTAATATAAAACAGCAATTCAATAGAGATAACTTTGTTTCTCTCTTGCATTTTTCATTCTTTTTCTTATTTTATTTCAGGAAATGGGGATGATGATGAGCGAAGAGGCTGATGATGAGGAGCGAATAGGCTGATCAAGATCACGATCTTAAAAAAAAAAAAGAATACATTTAAGCCACCAATTATCGGCGGCTATTAGGCTGGTAGCCAGGAAACTTTCTATTGAATAGTATTCTATTTTGAATTTGGGACCGCTGTTCTAAAAAGTTACTTTATTTTTTTCCTTGTTTTTGTTTGCTGAAAGTAAGCGGCTTCATGCCAACAAGTCGCTTGTTTTGTTTGGTCTTTTTTAAGGTTTTCCTTACCTTGTGTCTGGTAGGATTGAGCTACTTAATTTCTTTTACCTAACCTGATCACAGCCCCCTTCCCCCCCTTGCGACCCTCTCATCATTTTTTTTTTCAGTGTCAAAGATGCAATCTTGAATGAAAACTTCAGTCATAATGACAATGTGTTTATTTATATTATGTAGGCCAGGCCTATGCCCTAAAAAATAATTAATGCAGTATAAGTATACTACTAAGCCCAGTGGCATAGCTAGGGTTGGTGTCACCCGGTGCAGTAAACTCATGGTGTCACCCCCCCTCCCCCCAACTTCTACAATGGATTTCTTCTTGAGCTAAGGAAGCTAAATGTATTTAAGAACTATAACAACGTTAAGTATAGTTATTTTTCATAAAATTTAATTTATTTAAAATTTTCCTTTCCTGTTCTTCAAAGTTGCAAACCTGTAAATCACTTGATCATAATCAATATCCTTCACTGTATCACTTTCAATTGAGAGTAGAGCTAGGCTAGAAATCATTGACTGTCCCATGGGGATCGTAAAAAGTTCTTGATAAGCCTTAGTTTTGAAAAGCTCAGCTCACATGAAGCCACAGAAACACAGATCGTAAGAAACAATTGAAGGCTTAGCGAGTGTATTGGAAGAGATTCTAAGAAGTCCCATTCAGCTATCAATTTTAAAACATCAAGGAGGTCTCTCAGATTTTTATTACTCACCCTTGTGTGCAGTCGCATTAACGCTGCACCCTCCCCCTTTTGGACCAAGCCATGCCGACGCAGCAGTTGCAACACTTGCCCTTTTGTCGTCCAGACTAAACACATACACTTCCCTAAGAGCAGATTTTAGATATGCGACAGCTTCTTTTGTACTAGCTGCAATGTTGTCTACACCATTGTTTGCACCCGCTGCCAGATGACGTACATAGGAGAGACAGGGCGCCGACTATCTGACAGGTGTACTAACACATCCATAATATCATGCAAGTTAAGCATTGTCCCGTCTCTAACCACTTCAATAGAAGCAACCACCAGGGCAAGGTGGACTTTACAATAAGCGCAATCATGACTAGCATGAACACACCCAGCCGGGTTAATTTGGAACACAAGCTTATCCTGGCCTATGGCACTTTGACACCACATGGGATGAACATCATGTCTCTTTTCACAGCTTGAGCCTAGCTCCGCCCCTCCATGTCATGACCTATCGCAGTGGACCATCTTCTCCTCCTTTCTTTACCTCTTCTCTATTTAATCTCTCATCCACTTATTCTCTGTCACAATTCTTTTTCTTCCCTCTCGGACACTACGTTTCAGCTAAGCGCTATATTTTTTATACATTTTATTCTGGTTTTTTTGTTGTTTGTTCCCTGACGAAGGCTTCCTGTCGACATGTTCATTGTTTTGTTGTGTTCCTTTTTTCAGGCTTAACCTTACTTTGTTTTACTTACTACCTTAACAATGACTAGTACATGACGTTGTAAAAATTAATATCAGCTGTCTTCTACGCCTTGGTATTTCTTTTAAAAGTTCATATTTTGATAACTCATCATAGTAAGAGGTTAATTTTGGAACGGACGCCAATAACTCTTCTTCACTTGTTGATTGTAGACCCTTGGATTGAACACCCCCAAACATATATGCTACTTCCTAGATCGCTGATGATCTGATCTGGGCTTCAGAATGAAAGCGATCAATACACTCATCAATCAATTCATGTACTCAGAATCGCCCAACCACATCACATTTGGTATAAATGGAAAGCTATATTTCTTAGATCGAGCTCTTGGGGCAAGGGTATGGTGAGGTGACTCACCCGCCCCATGCCACAAGATCGAGCTCATGATGTCACCCGCAACGACTGATTTCTTCTTGTTAAAATAATTTTACATTATAACTATGACAAGAAAAACAAATTAATTAAAGGTCAGGCGTTAAATTTATTTAAGAACTGTAATGTTAAGTTTTAGTTATTTTTACATTAAATTTACTTTCCTTAACATTTTCCTTTCCTGGACTTCAAAGCTGCAAACTTTTCATTCAAACACTTGATCAAAATCAGTATCCTTCACCATATCACTTTCAAATGATACTAGAGACGGATCAGAAATCCTTGACTGTTCCATGGTGGATCCTAAATAGTTCTTGATAAGTCTTAGTTTTGGAAAGCTCAGCTCACATAAAGTCAAACACACAGAAACAATTGAAGGCTTAGCGAGAGTAATGGAAGAGATTTTAGGATGTCCCATTCAGCTATGAATTTCAAAACATCAAACACTGACTAGTACATGATGTTGTAAAGATTAATATCAGCTGCCTGTAGGTGTCTTCTAAGCATTGGTATTTCTTTTAAAAGTTCATCTTCTGATAACTCATCATAGAAAGAGATTCATTTTGGAACGGACACCAATAACTCTTTTCCTTTGCTGAGAGTAGACCCTTAGGTTGAACAGACCAAAACATATCTTCTACTTCATTGATCGTTGATAATCTGATCTGGGGTGTAGAATGAAAGTAACCAATCCACTCCAGTATCTCCTTTCTTAAACCTTAATATTCTCTCTACTGAAATTTCATATTGGTCTGATGTTAAAAGTGACTTTTTAATAGCATGTTCCACTAAGTGACAGTGCTTCTCGTGCAGAAACAATCTTAAGACCTCTAGGATGGTCACCACTTTTTCAAGAGTAAAACCTTTAGTCTGCAGATACTGCTGTGCAAGATTACCTTCCTCAAGTAGATCATCCCAAAGATAAAGGTAGCAAATAAACGTGAAATTGCAGGCAGCATGTAAAAGACATTGAGCTGTATGACAATCATCCTCAAATATTAAAGGGCAGATCTTGTGACGAATGGACGAACATGTTTTGAATATTTCTGGTAAATTGATATATTAGATTTCAAAAACCATTTTTTTAAAGAATTTTTTAAAATACATTTAAATTAACTAGTAAAGATATAAGTATAGGGTTTACGAAATTTCATTTCGTAAACCCTATAGATGAGTAAAAAGTCATTTTTCAAATGTTTTTAATTTTCACCGATTTGATTCATGAACTTAGAATCACCTGACTACATCATATTTGATATCAATGGAAAGCTTTATTTCTCAGAAATTAGATATATAGGCTATATAGCTTCCTATCACTTACGAAAGTTGCCAAACACTTCAAGCGGTGTTAAGTCAAGTTACCTGATAAAAACTGTGTTTTTCTTACCTAATTATAGGGTCATCTCATTTCTAACGCATCATGGTTGAATTCTAAATAAATCACACATTTAGACTGGTTAAATGTGTGAAAAATTTAAGTGTGATCGGTTTCTCTTTAACATTAAATTCGATTAGACCCAACAGTTTTTTCCATTTGGTGTCAACCCCAGGAATGGTATCACCGGGTGCGGTCTGCACCCCCTTTGCTACTCCACTGACTAAGCCTACAATATACTGAATACTGTATAGTCATAGTTATACAGTTAAGTTAACAGTCACAGAGTATACTATACTACATACCATATACTTACTTATACTACTTATACTATACCAAATTCAAATACCACTATAAAAGTACTAGGTACTAGTTAGTACTATACTTAACTATACCTTCTTCGTCCTATCTCATGATCATTTAAAAATTTTAAAACTCATTACCATGCCAGGTATGGGCTAAGATTATCACTTACACTTACTCATTTTCTTTGACAGCAGGGACAGGGGGTCTTTCTTTGAGATTCTGAGACTTAGCAACGTCAACCTTTTTGTTGCTAGTACTAGTAGTAGTTGTGCTTGTTGGGCCAGTCTTCTCTGTTGTTGGTGGGTCACTTTTCATAAAAAACGATCGACTCAAACTAATCCAACTTAGATGTACTTTAGTCAAATGTTCACTTAGTTTGTTAAGATGCTTAATGTGTCTAATGGAATGCATCATGGTCACACTAAGTTTTAGTATAGTGCTAATTTTTTTTTTTGCTAAACACAATTGCCAGCCGCAACTTAATCTTCTTTCGTGGAGATTTTCAAATGATGAAACGATTCGTAATCGTTTGACCCTTGAACCGACTTGACCTGACCTCTTATTTATAAACAAAAACAAAGAGGGGGGAAAGGGGTGTTTCGGATATTCCCGTAAATATCATGTGCAACATATCAAATCTAAAAGGTGGACATTTTCTAAAAATTATGTATATTTTATTGTTATCTATAACTATATAAATTGATTTATGTGTCGGCTCGTGTTCTGTCCACCCACATCCATGTCAATTCAATTTTGAAAGTCAAACAATGCGAACCGTCGCCGACCGAACTGTGCGAAAGGAAGCATTATTAATTAATATAATTTTAATGAATCACGAGACTTTAAAAAAAAATATGTGTCGTGAGGTACAACATTTTTGGTCCCAAATCTAATAATGGATTATGAATTGCGGCGCATAATTTTACTTGTTCTTGATTTACTTACTATTTATTATTGTTTGAAATTAGCCTACTTTAAATACTAAAATTAAAATGGTAATTAATTCCAGGTAATTTTAATTTGTATGGCATCGAATCCATTGAAATTGTTAATATTTTTAATTTTTTTCTAATTTTCAACATTACACAGAAAATCATTCGCGACTCATTGGTTGGGAACCCGTGATGTTTACCTTAATTGATTGGCATTGGGCAGAAAGTTTCTTAATTGATTAATAATTGCATTATGTTTTATTCTCCCAAATAATATAATGTATAACATATATTCATTAATTAGTTGATCGAGAAAGTGAATATGGTACTGCTCCAGCGTGCGCTCGGTTGACGGAGTTATACACCCCTGTATTTAGGTATTTTCCTCAAAATTAAAATTACAGTACGTATTATGACGTATGGGCCAGGGACATCATTTGGGTAGGGCACGGTGGGGCATTCGCCCCACCCCCCACCCCTGAATTTGTAGGTTTTATTTAAATTGCTATGTACTGTAATAAACAGTAATAAACAACCTAACAAGCAGAACAGGTTTTGGTTTTGGAGCACCACCAGAGGGTTTTTATAATGTTAAAAATCGTATTTGGAAGTCCGTGGACAGATTTTCTAGGCTCTAACTACGAAAATATTCGATTTAAAAAAATAAAGAATCGCATAAATTCACTTATCGCGGTAGAGTCTGGAACTGATAGACTCACGGTAAATGAAGAACGACTGTATAGAAATGATGTGTATATATGTGCTAGAGGACGCACTTTCAGGAGCTCACCCCCGTCAGCATTTAGTCAAGGTACGTCACCGGGTAGTCCTATTTGAGCACGATTGGTCTACACAGATCAAGGCGCGGCCCTATGCCGGTGCGGCGCCAGACACAGTTTTCAGAGATCTATACCATTTAGAGCACTGGTGCGCAACCTACGGTCAGCGGGTAACAACCGGCCCACTGAAACGTTGATTCCGGCCCGCAAGACCTTCAAAGAACTAGATCAGTTTTTTTCGTAAAATGTACATATTGTATTTTTTGTTTGTTTGTTGACCGTCCTGCACCATCTCCCAATGTGACGTATTTAGTTTGTTGAAAATTAATAATTACAGTATAAAATTGTCAAACTGTAATAATGATCATCACAGCACATTAATTTTTTAAATTTTTTATTCCATTGCTTATTTTCGAACTGGATTTAGATTTCAGATTGAATCATCGATGCCTATCTTTATTGAAGGATAATCATACCAGAAGTCTAAATTCCTATAAATAGACATTGCGGCCCTCTGCACAAAAAGGTAACCAACCCCTGATCTAGACAGTTGCCAGGGTCGCAGCTGTTCAGATCCCATCGGGCCCAATTGAAATTTTACAAGAGGTAGACCTAATGCCATTCATTAATTGATATGTTCATTTTTTAGCTTCATAGCAGTTACACAGCGCATTTCAATGATGAAAACAAACTTGTTGACAATCTACTCTACCGTCATTATCTCTTTTCCCACAGGAAACACAACTGATAACCCACTTAAACAGTTTTAAAGTTATAAACAATGAATACTTTGTTTTTAGTGGGCTTTTTTAAATGTGGGACGGTACCTGACTAGCAACTGTTCTGATTTGACTGAGTTAACCATCCATTCGGTGTCATAAGGCTAGACAACTGTTCTGATTTGACTGAGTTAACCATCCATTCGGTGTTATAGACAACTGTTCTGATTTGACAGAGTGAACCACCCATTCGGTGTCATAAGCTAGACGTTGGACAGAAAGGAAATAACAAATAAACTGATAATAATAATATGATATTGATTAAAATTTCAGTAGCGTACTGGCATCAAAAAGTTGGTTAAGGGAGAGAAATGGCTATACAGTCATACAGTCGTCCCTCGTTTATCAAGTTCAATCAGTTCCAGATTCTACTGCGATAAGTGAATTCCTGTGAAGTAGGATTCTTTATTTATAAATGGAATATGTTAATAGTTAGAGCATAGAGAACCTGTTCATGAGCCTCTTAATACTTTGTAGTTGGAGCATAGAAAACCTGTTCATGAGCCTCTTAATACTTTGTAGTTGGAGCATAGAAAACCTGTTCATGAGCCTCTAACTACGAATTTTAACATTATAATTATAAGACCCCCTGAGGATGCTCGAATAATGTCCTTACGAACAGTAATTTTAATTGTAACACAGGGGTGTATAATTGACTCAGAAAACCGAGCACGCGCTGTATCATTTTCACTTTCTCGATCAAATTTTTAATGCATTGATGTTATATTTGAGGGAGAAAAAAACCGCGACAGAGTGAAGCCGCTAAAGTTGAAGCACGAAGTGGTAGTTTATTTTAGTTAAACTAAAGAAATAAGTTTACAAACATATATTCCATTCAATTATCCTTCATTTGATACCAAATTTAGTCTTACAACCTAACAATAATATTTTATTTTAAATTTTAATCCCAACCTCTCATTTCGCGGACTGGGTCCGAATAGCCACTTCGTTATTGGAAACTGTATCTGGGGTCCTTGAAAGAGAATACACTGAAATAAATGAGTCAAGTGTAAAAGTGTAAGATGTCAGGTGTATAAGTTTAAGATGTCAAGTGTACAAGTGTAAGATGTCAAGTGTAAAAGTGTAAGATGTCAAGTGTAAAAGTGTAAGATCTCAAGTGTATAAGTGTAAGATGTCAAGTGTATAAGTGTAAGATCTCAAGTGTAAAAGTGTAAGATGTCAAGTTTAAAAGTGTAAGATGTCAAGTGTAAAATCTCAAGTGTAAAAGTGTAAGATGGTAAGTGTAAAAGTGTAAGATGGTAAGTGTAAAAGTGTAAGATCTCAAGAGTAACAGTGTAAGATCTCAAGTGTAAAAGTGTAAGTGTAAGGTCTCAAGTATAAAAGCATAAGATCTCAAGTGTAAAAGCATAAGATCTCAAGAGTAAATGTGTAAGATCTCAAGAGAAAAAAGTGTAAGATCTCAAGTGTAAAAGTATAAGGTCTCAAGTGTAAAAGTGTAAGATCTCGAGTGTAAGATCTCAAGTGTAAAAGTGTAAGATCTCAAGGGTAAAATCATAAGATCTGAAGAGTAAAAGTGTAAGATCTCAAGTGTAAAAGTGTAAGATCTCAAGTGTAAAAGTGTAAGGTCTCAAGTGTAAAAGCATAAGATCTCAAGTGTAAAAGCATCAGATCTCAAGAGTAAATGTGTAAGATCTCAAGAGAAAAAGTGTAAGATATCAAGTGTAAAAGTATAAGGTCTCAAATGTAAAAGTGTAAGATCTCAAGAGTAACAGTGTAAGATCTCAAGTGTAAAAGTGTAAGATCTCAAGTGTAAAAGTGTAAGATCTCAAGTGTAATATCTCAAGTGTAATATCTCAAGTGTGAAAGTGTACGATTTCAAGTGTAAAAGTGTAAGATTTCAAGTGTAAAAGTGTTAGATCTCAAGTGTAATATCTCAAGTAAAAAAGTGTAAGATCTCAAGTGTAATATCTCAAGTGTAAAAGTGTAAGATCTCAAGTGTAAAAGTGTAAGATCTCAAGTGTAAAAGTGTACGATTTCAAGTATAAAAGTGTAAGATTTCAAGTGTAATATCTCAAGTATAAAAGTGTAAGATCTCAAGTGTAATATCTCAAGTGTAAAAGTGTAAGATCTGAAGTGTAAAATTGTAAGATCTCAAGTGTAATATCTCAAGTGTAATATCTCAAGTGTAAAAGTGTAATATCTCAAGTGTAAAAGTGTAATATCTCAAGTGCAATATCTCAAGTGTAAAAGTGTAAGATATCAAGTGTAAAAGTGTAAGATCTCAAGTGTAAAGTGTAAGATCTCAAGTGTAAGATCTCAAGTGTAAAAGTGTAATATCTTAAGTGTAAAAGTGGTGGATGTCAAGTGTAAAAGTGGTAGATGTCAAGTGTAAAAGTGTAAGATGTCAAGTGTTAAAGTGTATGACAACAAATGTAAAGAATAAAACAAATCTGGATTAAATTGTTGATGCAAATATATTTCCTTTCTTGTTTGTGTCAAAAAATGGTGGCGGTACAAAATACAATTCCTGTCTGTTTTACAACAAAGAAATACCTGCTGGTGAAACAGTTGCAGTGATATGATCTAATATTAACAAGCACATTCTAACCCTGTAAATAAAGACCATGCACACTAATGGCTCATTTTCACAAAGAAACAATACATCAATGCACCATTTGAGAACAAAACAACAGTCATCTATTAATCACACCCAAATTGCAAAGATTTGTGAAAATTATTTCTTCAATCCTTCAAACATTGATTTAAAGCATAAAATACATTTAATAGGGTACTAATAATACACAGGTTCCTAATGGTAAAACTGCAAAGTATATGATTATGATGCCAGTGATGCTATAAAAATAAGAATGGGAGATGTGATGACAATGAAAGCATGGCAGAGGGGTGCGATGGAATTACTACTTCTATTGCCCTTAATCTCTCTACATCCAAGCCCAGAGAAATGACCACCATATGAATTGATCTCCTCACTAGCACCAGAATGATTTGATCATAGATAGCTTAGTACCAAACATGAGCACCTGATGGACTTACTTAACCCTGAACTTTTTATATAACAATTATTTAATATTTTAAAAAAAACAAGTCGTTTTCAATATGTTCTTATTCTCAGCA